GGGGCGGCGCAAGGCAAAAGGGGGCGGCGCAAGGCAAAAGGGGGCGGCGCAAGGCAAAAGTCACAGAGAGCGGGGCAGAAGTCCTTCGCAAACAAGTTGCGATGCAGTAGTGATGAGTGGAGGATGACATCAAAAGGGGGCCTAAAGGGCACAAAACAAGATTGACCCGCAAAGAAAAAAAGAGGGCTGAGAAGGCCCCGATGACAGTTAGTAATAGGGGAAGCTTCAAACGGTCTAGAGACAGAGCTAAAAGAATGGCTCGGCCTTTGGCCGCACACACAGCCTGAGAAGGGATCTGCCGGCCCGACGATGACGAGTCGGGCGAGGCAGAAAGACGAGCGCCTGCGGCGTTGACGGTTGCGCAGTACCGGATGCATTCCAGACCCCAAAAAACAAAAGCCTTCTCAGAGCTCACAAATAAACAAACAAGCACACAGCTACAACATACACCATGGACACACATACATGAGCTGCGTGCCCTAGCTCTCCCACACTTTTGCCATTCAAACACCTGAACCACCATCCTCACACACCACTCATCCCAAAGACACATCCATACTAGACAGGCTGGAAGCACAAGCGGTCATGGGCACGCACACACAGGCACATACACAGAGACACACAGAGGCTCCAGATGTCCCAACCCTCCTATCCCTCCACTTAACTTGAGCAGAGCTCTGGGTCGCCGTGGCGCTTCGGGAGCCATCCTCAAACAGGGAAGGTATCTTCTCACATTTCATTTTGGGCGCCTCGTTCGCCTCCGTCACCTGCCAAAGCGGAGCATGGGTAGACATCCTTAGAAGAGCTGTCACACTGCACATGCTACTCTATCCCGCTCCGTCAGGCGAGACCGCACCGACTGCACGTGGACAGCCACACCCACAAACATCATCGGACAGACAGAAAAAAAGCCTTATGCAAAAAAAGGACCTGGTACTGCACAGAAGAGACCGAGAAGTAGGGAAGATCTATGACATGGCAACCCCAAGGTCGGCCGAAAGCGTGGATCAAAGCCGAGCGATGGCGCCGGGTCGGAAAGGGGCTGGCAAAGCCAGAGACGGCAATGAGAAAGAAGCTTTCAAAAAAGATTGGGTGATGGAACAAAGCAGGAAAGATGACCCCAAAAGGGTGCCGGGAAGATGCAAAATGAGACCAGCTACCGAGAGGAACGTGCGGCCTTATGAGGCCTCGAGCGGGAACGGTCACGGACGGAGATGACCCAGAGATGGAGGAGATGGAACACGGGGAGGAGATGACCCCGAAAGGGTGCCGGGCTTTTGCCGACGGATGGGAGGGTGGCAGAAAGAAACAGACACCGAGGGAGATAAGGGTCATGTTTGCTGTTAACATCAAATAATAAAGAAATGAAATATCTACTGAAACAGGAAGCTTACTAGGCACTGAGTTTTAACTACAGGCAACAAGCAAGGTAACACCCCTAACCATTACTATATGAGAAAGAGACTAGCGATCAAGTAAAAGATGCATGACCTGCTGCCTAAATACCTGACTACCGCCCAGATCCGCAGTCGCCGGGGAGCCCCCGTTGCGGCGAGGATTTGGAGAGCCTTCCCTKTAACTGGGAGCTCTTACGCGGCGCGTCCACCCGTAAGCGAGGTCTCCAAAGTCGCCGTAAGAGGGGTTCGGCGTTTATAAAGCCGAATTGGCAAAACCTGTCGTTTTCTTGGTTAGCGGTAACATCTGGGAGATCCCGCTTTCCTTCGCATCCGGGACCGGGACTTGGCCGGAGCCCCGGCTTCGGATGGGAAAGCTCCCTTCGAGGTCAAAAGCAGTTGCCCGAGAGTCTACAAAAGCTACAGTTCAATGAGCTACATGCAGCTGGTTAGCAGAAGCAATTTACAGATGAGTTCTGTGTGCTTCTGCAAAAGCAGAGCCATGTTGAGCTGTAAGTCAAGCCTGGCTTGGGCTTGCGGTTCGGACCCTGGCAGTTCAGCCGGGAAGATGGAAAACAAGACCGGCTACCGAGAGGAAAATGTGGCCTTATGAGGCCTTGACCAGGGTCACGAGTATGAAGGGTAACCAACAGTGACAAGTGGAGACGAAGGGACGAAAGGCCCCGAGCCGCATTCACGCCGCAAGACGGTATCGGCTGGCACGATGACGAGAACTCGGGCCGGGCGGGAGGACAAAGGATGCCTACATCACTACTGTCGCACAGTGCCTGATGTGTTCCTGAATGCTATGAACAAGGGCAACCTCGAGACCTGAGCAGCAGAGCACAGCTAAAATACACGCCACAGATACAGGTCAGAGCCGCCTGCCCTAGCAAGCCCACGCTTCCTCCTGTGCAACACCTGAGATGCCACCCTTACGCACCACTCATCCACAGGACGCATCCATATTGGACAGGCTGGCAACCCACACACAACCGACGACCCGATGTGTCCCATCTCCCCACTTAACTTGGGCGGTGCTCCGGGACGGTGCGGCACTTTGGAGCTCCTCCTCGAGGGGTGGACGCATCTTCTTCCATCTCATTTCGGGCGCCTCGTTCACCTCCATCACCTGCCGAGGCAGAGCAGAGGTAGACATCCTGAGAAGAGCGGGCACCTACCTCACTCACAAACAACAACTCTCCCTCATATTTATCATTCTCTTTCTGCTCACCTGCAATCTGCCCGATCCTCGCTCTGGTAGCAGGACTGTGATGACATTCAGGATATCTAGAAAGAAAAAAACACCACCAAGCGACTCTTGTGCTAGGCAGGGAAAAGTAGTCTGATAACTATAGATACACCAGTATACCCAGTTAAGTTTGCCTCACCTCAAATCCTTCATCTGGAAACCCAAAAAGTCCACACGGCACCTGAAGGAGCAGGAGAAAAGGCAAATCAACGAGAGGCAGCCGGCCGACACCTTACCGCACGACAACGACCACCCTCCCTCCCCCTGCCTTCCCCCAGTCATCTCCCTCACCTGTTCTCGGGCCTCTCCTGTCCGCACGGCTTCTCCTCTCGGGGACCCCCACACAATCTGCTAACACCGAGGAGAGCACACCGTGAGGAGATGAAAGAATCACACCCCCTTGCAACAATACCCCACTACAATGCCAATCGCCCTGCCAAATTATACCATCAGGAGGATTACACACGGGCTTGCCAATGGCCGCTCTGGGTCATCGCCGTCACGCTGCGCACGCTACGACGGCCGACTCCCTCGGGCGAGACTGCTCCTGCTGCGCACGCAGTCATCCACGCAAACGTCATCAGACAGACAGAGAAAAAGCCATATGCCAAAAGACCTGGGACCGCACAGAAGAGAGCGAGGACTAGAGAAGCCCTGCAACATCGTGACAACAATACTCAACAGAAGGACAGATCAAAGTCGAGTGATGGTGCCCGTGTAGAAAAGCGAGAAGGATGAGAGTTCGGAAAGAGCTATGAGAAAGAGGTCTTCAAAAAAGATCTGGTGATGGAACAAAGCAGGGAGGATCACCCTGAAACGGTGCCGGGCTTCTGTCAATGGATGGGGGAGGGGAGGGGGGGACAGTCGGAAAGAACAAGTCGTGAAGGAGGAGAATGGCCATGCTTACTGTTAAATAAGAAATGAAATGGTGCATCTAATGAAGCAATAAGCTTACTAGGCACCAAGATTTAACTACAGGCAACAAGCAAGGTAACGCCCCTAACCATTACTATGCGAGAAAGAGAAGAGCGATCAAGCAAAAGATGCAAGACCTACTGCCTAAAAACCTGACTATCGTCCAGATCCGCAATCGCCGGGGAGCCCCCGTTGCGGCGAGGATTTGGAGAGCCTTCCCGGTAACTGGGAGCTCTTACGCGGCGCGTCCACCCATAAGCGAGGTCTCCAAAGTCGCCATAAGAGGGGTTCGGCGTTTATAAAGCCAAATTGGCAAAACCTGCCGTTTTCTTGGTTAGCGGTAACATCTGGTGATCCCGCTTTCCTTCGCATCCGGGGCCGGGACCTGGCCAGAGCCCCGACCTCTGATGGGAAAGCTCCCTCAGAGGTCAAAACTGGCTGCCTGAAAGCCTGCAAAAGGTACAGCTGAATGAGCCTGTGTGCAGGTGGTTAGCAGGAACAACAGGCAGGTGAGTTCTGTGTGCTTTTACAAAAGCAGAGCCATATACAGTTGTAAAGTCAATMTTGACTTGGGCCTGTGGTTCAGGCCATGGCAGATCACCTGAGAACGGCTACACAAGACCAGCTACCGAGAGGAAAGTGTGGCCCTATAAGGCCTTGATAATGGTCACAAGCATGAAGGGCCACCRATGGTGGCGCCCTGGAGACGGAGGGACGGAACGCGYGAGTTACGTGCGCGCCCCGAGAGAGGATCCGCTGGCACGATGAAGACAACGCGGCCCAGGCAGTGGGAGGAGGTGGGAAGACAAAGGATGCCTACGTGGCTCCTGTCACACAGTGCTGGATGCGTTCCCAAACTCTAAGAGCAAGAGCGACCTCAAGACCCGAACAATGGAGCGCAGCGGCAACACGCGCCGCAGAGACACAGACTGGAGCCGCTCGYGCTAGCCATTGCATGCTTTCTGGTGCGCACCAACCGAGATGCCGCCCTCACGCACCACTCGGCCATAAGAGGCATCCATACTGGACAGGCTGGTACCCCGCACACACCTGACAACCCAACGTGTCCCATCTCCCCACTTAACTTGGGCGGTGCTCCGGTGCGGCACTTTGGGAGCCGTCCTCAGGAGGTGGACGCATCTTCTTGCGGCTCACTTCGGGGGCCTCGTTCACCTCCGTCACCTGCCGAGGCAGAGCAGAGGTAGACATCCTGAGAAGAGCGGGCACCTACCTCACTCACAAACAACAACTCTCCCTCATATTTATCATTCTCTTTCTGCTCACCTGCACTCTGCCCGATCCTCGCTCTGGTAGCAGGACTGTGATGACATTCAGGATATCTAGAAAGAAAAAAAAAAAACATCAAGTGACTCTTGTGCTAGGCAGGGAGAAGTAGTCCAGGAACTAGTGACAAGCCAGCATATCCAGTTARGTTTGCCTCACCTCAACTCCTTCATCTGGAAATGCAAAAAGTCAAACATGGCACCTGAAAGAGCAGGAGAAAAGGCAAATCAAAGAGAGGTGGTCGGCCAACACCCGACAGCTCAAGAACAAAATACACCCCCCCKTCCCTCAGGCATCTCCCTCATCTGCTCTTGGGCCTCTCCTGTCCACACAGCTGCTCCTCTCGGGGACCYCCACACAATCTGCTGACACCAAAGAGAGCACACTGTGAGGAGATGACAAGAATCACACCCACCTGCCACAATGCCCCGCAAAAATACCAGGTCCCTGCCAAGTTATACCATCAGGGAGATTACACATAGACCCATCCATGGCCGCTCCAGATCATCGCTGTCACTCTGCACGTGCTACGACGGCCGACCGCCCCGGGCGAGACAGCTCCCGCTCGCACAGTCACGCACGCGAACATCATCAGAGAGACAGAGAAAAAGCCATATGCAAAAAAGACCTGGGACCGCACGGAAGAGAGCGAGGACTAGAAAAGCCCTACAACATCGCGACAACAATGCTCGACAAAAGCGCGGATCAAAGTCAAGTGACCGTGCCAGTGTCAGAAAGGGACCGGCAAGTCTGAGAGGGCGATGAGGAAAAGGCCTTCAAAAAAGACCCGGTGATGGAATAAAGCGGGGAAGATGTCCCTGAAACGGTGCCGGGCTTGGGCCGATGGAAACGGGGTGGGCAGTAGAAATGACCAGACATCGAGGAAGAGAACAGTCATCGTTACTGTTAATAAAAAATTAGAAA